GTGAAGGCCCCAAGTGCTTGAGTCCAGTCCCAACTAAATATCCCAGGAGAAGCACCTGGCTCCTGCCATTGGATCAGCATGGTGCGCTGGCCGCAGCACACCGGCCGCAGCGGCCATTGGAAGGTGAACCAATGGCAAAGGAAGACCTGTCTCTGTCTCTCTCTCTCACTGTCCACTCTGCTGCCTGTCCCCCCCCCCCAAAAAAAGAGTGATATACTACTATAGTTTTAGTGATCTGTAATTATTTTAAAATTTACTGTATATGAATGAAATTGACATCTTTAAGTTTGATTACTGTTTAGGCCTTGCCTACATTCCTGCTGAATTGTGGTCATTTCACTTTTTCCTTGTTGAACTCTTTATTTAGTGCAGCATTAAGCCTCTGACTATAACGTAAATTAAAAATATGTTATTTCAAAACTTAAGAAAGAAAGAAAAAGTGAGGGACACAGGGAGGAAGAGAAATATCACTATATTCTTAGAATTGTATCAGTGAACTACATGGAATCTGTTCTCTTTGTATTGATAACACATTAGCATGAGAATTGTATTGCTGTTATTATCATGCATTTGCTGTGACCCTGAGAATGTAATGCATTAACAAATTCATTTTAAAAATAACAAATACACTGAGCACCAAAAGAGAAACTTGTTGAAGTGAAATGGACACTATGAGAAACAGTGACTTGATCAGCTCTTGTCCTGACAGTTGATGTACAATGTAATACTTTATCCATTTTAGTATTTTTATTTGTTCTAGTACCATTGGCTGAATTCTGTAATTAACACACAATTATTCTTAGGTGTTTAAATTTTAACTGAAAAGTGATCCCTGTTAGGAATTTGGAAAACATTATGCTGAGTGAATTAAGCCAATCCCAAAGGGACAAATACCATTTGTTCTCCCTGATAGGTGACAACTAATTGAGCACCAAAAAGGAAACCTGTTCAAGTGAAATGAACACTATGAGAAACGGTGATTTGATCAGCCGTCACCCTGACTGTTGATGAGCAACTTAATATGTTACCCTCTTAGTATTTTTTTTTGTTTGTTCTACTTAATACCTTTGGTTGAATACCGTAATCAATACACAATTCTTCTTAAGTGCTGAAACTTAACTGAAAAGTGATCGCTGTTAAATATAAGAGTGGGAATAAGAGAGGGAAGAGATGTGCAATTCGGGACATGCTCAAGCTGACTTACCTCAAACGGTGGAGTTAGAAACATACCAGGGGATTCGAATTCAATCCCATCAAGGTGGCATGTACCAATGCCATCTCACTAGTCCCAATGATCAATTTCTGTTCACAATTGATCGTAATGATAGGACTAAGAACCAAAGGGATCACATAAACAAGAATAGTGTCTACAAATACTAGCTGATAGAATCAAAAAGGGAGAGAATGATCCAACATGGGAAGTGAGAAACACAGCAGACCCAAAGAATGACAGATGTCCTAAACAGCACTCTGGCCTCAGAATCAGCCCTCAAGGCAAGTGGATCTGGCTGAAAAGCCCATGAGAGTATTTCAGGCATGAAAAGCCAAGACACTCTGGGGGGGGGGGGAAAAAAAACTAAATGAAAGATCTCCGCGAGTGAGATCCCAGTGGAAAGAATGGGTCATCAAAGAAGGAGGTACCTTTCTCTGAAGGGAGGAGAGAACTTCCACTTTGACCATGGCCTTGTCTAAATATGATAAGAGTCGGTGAACTCAAAAGGCTTCCATAGCCTTGGCAGCTCATGACAAGAGCCTAGGGTAATTACTGATGCCATAAACAAGAGTGTCAATTTGTTAAGTCAAAAACAGGAGTCACTGTGCACTTACTCCTCATGTAGGATCTTTGTCCTTAGTGTGCTGTACATTGAGATTTAATGCTATAACTAGTACTCAAACAGTATTTTTCACTTTAGGTTTCTGTGTGGGAGCAAACTGTTGAAATCTTACTTAATGTATGCTAAACTGATCTTCTGTATATAAAGAGAATCGAAAATGAATCTTGATGTGAATGGAAGGGGAGAGGGAGTGGGAAAGGGGAGGGTTGCGGGGGGGGGAGGGACGTTATGGGGGGCAAGCCATTGTAATCCATAAGCTGTACTTTGGAAATTTATATTCATTAAATAAAAGTTAAAAAAAAACAAATACAATTATGAACAAATGAAAATAAACAGGTATCATATTTGTATTACAAACCTGTGCTGGTGGTACTTGCAAGGGATTGTTGTCCAAAATTATTACTTGTAAATGATGTAGCTTCCGGTAACAAACTGGAATTTCAGTCACTTTATTACAAGAGAAATCCAACTTGACTAAAGGAAGATCACCTAATTCTGTTCAGAAATAGAAAAATTATTAAGTTAAATTTTACATATTTATTTTCTTATTCGTTTAGGTAAAAATAGTGAACATCTTACCATCAGGCAAAACATGAAGATTATTTCTTCTTATATTTAGCTCTCTAAGAGAATGTAATTTCCCCATTTGTTGGGGAAGGACCTGAATCTCATTGCAGCTAATATCCTAAGGAAAACAAGAAAATACAATTATAAAAAACTAACTATACAGGATTGATAGCTAGCAATAGTTGCCTCCAATATCATTTCTCTAAAGATGGATTACCTGACAAATTTGTTTGTATTCTATCATGAAGTCAATATAATACAACTGACATATTTTTGTGTAAAAATTTGTGATTATAGCTTAGTAACTACATAAGATAACATCTGAAAAATCTCAACCAAACACCAAGTAAAGATGATAAAGGGATGGCGCTGTGGTGCAGTGGGTTAAGCCACAACCTACAGCACCAGCATTCCACATAGGTGCCATTTTGAGTCTTGGCTGCTCCACTTCCTGCAAGGGCAGCAGAAGATGGCCCTTGCCACCAATGTGAGAAACCCGCAGGAAGCTATGGGCTCCTGGTTTGGGCCCAGATTGTTGTGGCCATTTGGGGAGGAAACCAGCTGATGGAAGATCTGTCTCTCCTCTCTCTCTGAACCTCTGCCTTTCCAATAAGTAGATAAACCTTTAAAAAAAAATAATGACTCAAGGTGCTCTTCATACAGAGACAAAATAAAAGACTAGCAATTAATAATTACTGTGATTACCTGTCAATCATAATAGTTGTTTTGAGATATTTAGTTGGGTAGAAATGAAGAGAGTCAAGGATTTAGAGATGTGAGTTGAAGTACCAAAGTCTATGGTCTAGATCAATTTAATTCAATGTCTTTCTCCAAAGAGATGCAAAATATGAGCTATTACAAGTTCAAACATTTTTGGATCACATTATAACTCAGACATTCTAAGGGATCTGCCTCAGGCATCTCTTAGGGTTAAGTTAAAAATGCAAAGGTTGGCCAGCATTGTGGCATAGCAGGTTAAGCCTCTGCCTGCAGTGGTGCCATTGCCATCCCATATCAGTGCCAGTTCAAGTCCTGGCTGCTCCACTTCTGATCCAGCTCTCTGCTTCTGGCCTGGGAAAGCAGTGGAAGATGGCCCAAATGCTTGTGCCCCTGCACCCACATGGGAAACCTAGAAGAAGCTCCTGGCACCTGGCTTCAGATTGGCTCAGTTCCAGCTGTGGCGGCCATTTGGAGAGTGAACCAGCAGATTGAAAGACCTTTCTCTCTCCCCTCTCTCCCTTTCAAATAAATAAATAAATCTTTAAAAAAAAAATTCAATCCTTGGACCAGGTGTTATGGGTTAAGCTTGTGCTTGAGACACCTGTATCCCATATCAAAGTGTCTGGGTTGAGTTCCAACTACTCTGCATTCCCTGCTAGAGTGCCTGAGAGGCAATGTACGATGGCCCAGATGGTTGTGTTCCCGCCACCCATATGGGAGAAATGGATGCAGTCCCTGGCTCCTAACTTTGGTTTGGCCTGACTGGCTGTTGCAGCCATTTGGGGAATGAACCAGAAGATGGAAGATCTCTATATATAACTCTGCCTCTCAAATAAATATAAAAATAAATAAATCTTTTAAAAAATACAAATCCTAATAGAAAACTAAATTAAAAAGTGTCTATAAGAAAATTGAAAACAGGTTAGCTGTGCTTTCCTCTCCCTCAGCTTTCTTAGAAACACATAAACAAAATGGGGAAAGAAATCTACAACACACTCTCAAACAGTAGTCATTCCAGACACAATGAAAATGAAATTTATATTCTGCAACAGGTCCCAATTTCTAGCTTTCAATGAAAATTATATTATCTTGGAGGAAGAGGAGAGACACATGCATTCAGTTTTACTAAAAGAACTGTAACTGTAATGCTGTATAGTTCTGCACACATTTCTATGGGCTTACTTCTAAGGGTACAGTATAAAAACTTGCTATGGAACCCTAAATCCCCTTAAGCTGACTGGTAAAAACAGCATTTTAAGTATTAAAGGTATCATAAATAGGATTAAGTGTTTGGTAATAATAATAGATAGAATTAAAAAGGAGTGAACGCTTCAACATGGGAAGCAGTCTATACAGCAGACTCACAGAATGACAATCACTTTAAGTAGCACTCTGACCTCAGACAGCCCTTAAGGCACTCTGGTCTGGCTGAAAAGCCCATGAGAGCATTTCAGGCATAGAAAGCCAAGACACTGTGGAAAAAGTATCCTACATGAAGGGCCTCTATAGGTGAGACCCCAGTGGAAAGAAGTGGTCATCAAAGAAGGATGTACTTTTCTCTGAAGGGAAGAGAGAACTTTTACTTTGTTTAGGGCCTTGTCTAAATACTGAAGGAGTTTGTGGATTCAAAACTCTTTCATCACCTAGGCAGCTCCTGTAAAGAGCCTCAGGTGATCACTGACATCATACATAAGAGTGTTAATTGTTAAATTAACAACAGGAGTCACTGTGCACTAACTTCCCATGCAGGACCTCTGTTCTCAAAGAGTTGTATTATGAGAGTTAATAGTAAAACTTGTTCTCAAAAATTTACTTTGTGGGGCTGTCGCTGTGTCATAGCAGGTAAAGTCATTGCCTACAGTGCCGGCATCCCATAAGGGCACCGGTTCTAATATCAGCTACTCTACATCCAATCGAGCTCTCTGCTCTCTTTTCGGCCTGAGAAAGCAGAAGAAGACGGCCGAAGTGCTTGGGCCCCTGCACCCATGTGGGAGACCCAAAAGAAGCTCCTGGCTCTTGGCTTTGGATAGGCAGAGCTCTGGCCATTGCAGCCAAATGGGGGAGTGAACCATCAGATGGAAGACCTCTCTCTCTGTCTCTCCTTCTCTCTCTGTGTAACTCTGACTTTCAAAAATAAATAAATCCTTAAAAAGGCAATATTTACTTCATTTTTGTGTATTAAGTGGAGGATATTCTTATGTCTCATAAGTTATAGTTCTAAGTGTTCACAAAAGATGTATCATTTTGGGGTTCTTCTTTAAAGTTAATTAAGTTTCTCAAAAAAAAAAAAAAAAAACAAAAAAAAGAAAAAAGAATAAGAATGCTTAAAAATAGTGAAATTTACCTTGAGATCCAATGACTTCAAACAGCCCTTGTCTCAACTGTTGAGGAACAGTTTTTTTTTTTTTTTTCATACAATTTGTTGAACTCTTTACTTAGTATAGACTTAATCTTCTGTGTATAAAGTTCATTAAAAATAGATCTTAGTAAAAAATAAGACAGGGAGTGAAGTAGGCAGGCATACAGGTTAAAATCAATTAGGTTTATGAGCTGGAAGACCACGCCTTCACCACGCCCCTGTGTGACCTCATGCCCCTACATGGCCACACCTGAGTGCACACCAGCCAATCAGGTTAATTAACCACTCCCCTTCGGAAGTGGGTTAAAAGCCAGGGACAAGGTGTGTCCAGTCCTTCTCTTCTTTGCCTGGCTTCTAGCCTGGAGGGTGCTGGCTGTAGCCCTGCACCTCCTGGGAACGTGGGCCACCAGCCCCTAGGCTTCCTGGCCTAGATGCTACTCCATGTGGCTGGTTCCTGGTGCTCCCTATGAACCCAGATTTACCTCTCTCTTAGATAAAGCTATCACTCTCCTATGCATCTTTCGCACTAAATAAAGCTTAAAATGTACCATGCTACCTGGTTTATTGATGCCAGTATTTAGAATTATTCTCTATTAGACAAGAACCCTCTCAGGCTTATTAATATTGGGGATTTATTAATAAGCATATGGTGATATCATATGGCACCCCAAATTCTGGTAACATCCCAGAAGGTGCTTCTGGGGCCACATTTTGCTGTATTTTAGGGGGTCATTTCTGATATCAGGAGGAGGAAGAGGGGTGGGAGCGTGGGTGGGAGAGATAGTACAGTGGGAAGAATCACTGTTTTTAAAGTTGTATTTATGAAATGCATGAAGTTTATAAAACTTAAATAAAAGTTTTCTTTGATAAAAAAAAAGTAAAAGAAGACAGGAGGGTTGACTCAGAAGAATATTGAAGCCATGCAGGGAAAAATCTACTAAATCCACAGATGACTGGGAAAATGTATTCTACCTATTGTTGTGATGACTCAAAGGGTTAAATGGCAATCAGGGTGTTCCTGGTAGAAATTGAGTGTGTAAAATGCTTTCTTCTCCCCCAAAAGTTCCTGCCCTACTTCCTTAGGAATCTCTTGCCTTATCATGAGAACAGGAAGGGAGTCGTGACTCCACCCTTCTGAGCTCTCAGTTTATTGTAAAACAAATTAGGTATGCCACCCTTGTGATGGCTCTTTTGTTTTATCATGAGCAATCCAAATAGGGTAAAAAGATTTCAAATCAGGTCTTTTGAAGGGTTTTGTGCTTGCCTTTAACTAAATGTCTACCTGATTGTCAAGTTTTTTTTTTTTTTTTCTCCAAATTGTGCTAAAAAATTCCACTACCACTAGCCCCTTCTGATTTTGCTTCTGTTGGAGCCCACTTCCTGGCCATTTTGCCAGGAGGTTTCTGACTTAAATAAATCTTACTTTTAAACGCTTTCTCTCTGCCTTGTCCTCCTGGAAATTCTTCTTCCATGTGAGACAAAGAACTGAGAGAATATTTTCTTGGCCATTGCATCCATTAACACTATGGCAATCAGATGGGCTAATAGGCAGTTAGGTGGCCATGGTTGTAAAGAGGAAAATGGGAGTCCACCAAAGAGAGTGCAAAATGCTTGCTTCTCTAAAAAGTTATCTTTAGCAAGACAAAAATGCCTGTCCCACTCCTTGGGAGTTTCCAGTTTTATCTGGAGAATTGCAAGGAAGTGGTGATTGTACCCTTCTGAGTTCTCAGTTTACTGTGAAACAGATCCCACTCTTCTGATGGTTTTATGTCTTATCATCAGTAAGCTAGATAGGACAGGCAAGATTACAAATCAGGCCTTTTGATGGATTTCATCCTGCTGTCTAACTGATGTTAGCTGCTGCTTTTTTTTTTTTCTTTCTCCTGAAAGTATGCTTAGAAGACTGGGACCCTCACAGTTCAGGGGGTCTGCCTTTCTAGTCCCCTCACCCTTTCCTGATCTCTGTTGGCAGGAGCTTTCTGACTTAAATAAATTTTGCTTTTCTCTCTGCCTTGTTGGCATGGAAATGAGATAAAGAACTGAGGTCATCTTTCTCTGCTGCCTTTTCACCCACAACAATAACATCTTTCAAACAATATGTAAGGCATCTTCACTGAACAAGTATTTACTGAATATCAAGTATTTGCTCACTACATTCTAGGGGATAGGGATAGCACCCAGAGCTCCTCATGGAGTTTGTATTCTGGCAAAGAGAATAGATTATAAATTATGCCAGAAAGTGTTAAGTTCTTTTTTTTTTAAAAAAAAAAGCAGGGTAAATGAAAATGACTGTGTTAGTAATAGAGAAAAGGATATTAACAATTTAGATCATGGACATGTCAGTTGAAAAGTATTATCAGAGCTGAAAGAGTAAGCCATGCCAATATATAAGGAATATTCTAGACAGACAGAACAATAAATATAAAATCCCTTACGCAGAACATCACTGAAATATATAAAGAACAGCAAGGAATCAAGTATAACTACAGGGAAGCACGCAAGGGAGAATGAGGGAGAGATATAATTTTTGCCTTTGCTCTGAGACATACAGGCAAAAACCAAATACTTTAAAGCAGAGGAATGACATGATTTGATTTACGTTTTCACAGGATCACATTAGTTGGTATACACAGAACACACTACTATATAAATAACAGTAAAAGTCAGAGAAAATGCACTTTAAAGTAAATATCATTGCTTCTCTCCAAAGTTGTCTGATACTGAACATTTTCTTATAGAAAAATCCATAAGAATTTGGTAGATAGGTAGCATTTCCCAGAAGAAATAAACCCAAGCATAGGAAACTGATCTACTCTGATAAGTACTGTAACAAAATACTGTATTGCAGACTGAAGGCCAGAGAATATTTCCTGGGTATCTAATGACAGAATTTTATTATTTCAAAATTCTAAGGTTCTAAAATATAAGGCAAAATTCAAGAAAGCTTTCTTGTGTTATTAATTAAATGTGCAGGTCTTCCTTAATAAATGAAAGGTATTCATGAAATTTCTGTTCATAATATGCTATTTTAACATTAATTCCCCATTATAAAATTGTGGATAAGTTACTCAAGAAAACTTTTGACCCCTCCAGACAGAATAAAATTATACTTCAGAATACTTTTAAAATACTAGGAGTGGAGGGGAGGCATTCAGCACAGTAGTTAGCATGCTGCTTGAGATGCTTACATCCCATATAGGAGAACCTGGTTCAAGTCTCAGTGATTTGGCTTCCAATCCAGCTTCCTGTTAATGTACAACCTAGGAGTGAGTAGATGATGTCTCAAGTACTTGGGTCTTTGCCACCCATGTGGAAGACCCAGTCAGTTTGGGGCACATGTCTTTACCCTGGCCCAGCCCTGGCTGTTGTGGGCATTTGGGGAATGAACCAGTGGATAAAAGATATGTCTTCTCTTAGCCTAACTTCCAAATAAAATAAAAATAAATAAAAATTGTTAAAAAATAATGAATCCTTTAAAAATACCTGTTTATTGGGAAAGCATTACTCAAAATAAGAAAGAAAATAAAAATAACCAGAATGATACATTGTCTGAAGTGAAGTTAACCATTAAGATATGAAAAGAATTCAACAATATTTTAATGATCCAATTATGTTATTTTTTAAAGATTTTTTTTAAATTTATTTGACAGGTAGAGTTATGGACAGTGAGAGAGAGAGACAGAGAGAAAGTCTTCCTTCCGTTGGTTCACTCCACAAATGGCTGCTACGGCCAGCGCTGTGCCGATCCGAAGCCAGGAGCCAGGTGCTTCTTCCTGGTCTCCCATGTGGGTGCAGGGGCCCAAGCATTTGGGCCATCCTCCACTGCCCTCCTGGGCCACAGCAGAGAGCTGGACTGGAAGAGGAGCAGCCGGGACTAGAACTGGCGCCCATATGGGATGCCGGTGCCGCAGGTGGACGATTAACCAAGTGAGCCACGGCGCCGGCCTCCAATTATGCTTTTTCAGAGTTCAATGTCGATTAAATACACAAAATTTTTATGTTCAAAGTAATTACAATAAATTATTTAAGTTTTTAAAATCTTACATAAAGAAAATGTAAAATACAATTTACAGTTTTACAATTTATTTTCATTACATTTGAAAGGTAGATGGTCATTTGCAACAAAATGGAGGAATCTGGAAAACATCATGGTGAGTGAAATATGTTAATCCCATAGGGACAAATATCATATGTTCTCCCTGATCTGTGACAATTAAGTGAGCACCTAAAAGGAAACCTGTAGAAGTGAAAGTGATGTTATGAGAAGCAATGACTTGATCAGCCCTTGTCCTGACTATCCAGGAACAGCTTACTATTTTGTTCTTTTTAGTATTTTCTTTCTCTACTTAATGCCATTGGTTGAACTCTTTACTTAACACAGAATTATTCTTAGGTGTTCAAATCCAATTGAAAATTGATCCCAATTAAAAATAAGAGTGAGAATAAGAGAGGGAGGAGATGTACAGTTTAGCACACATTCCCTTGGACTTACCCCTAAGAGTAAAGCTATAAACTTGCCATGGGGCCGGCGCCAGGGCTCACTAGGCTAATCCTCCACCTAGCGGTGCCGGCACACCAGGTTCTAGTCGCGGTCGGGGCGCCGGATTCTGTCCCGGTTGCCCCTCTTCCAGGCCAGCTCTCTGCTGTGGCCTGGGAAGGCAGTGGAGGATGGCCCAGGTGCTTGGGCCCTGCACCCCATGGGAGACCAGGAAAAGCACCTGGATCCTGGCTCCTGCCTTCGGATCAGCGCGGTGCGCCGGCCGCAGCGTGCCGGCCGCAGCGGCCATTGGAGGGTGAACCAACGGCAAAGGAAGACCTTTCTCTCTGTCTCTCTCTCTCTCACTGTCCACTCTGCCTGTCAAAAAAAAAAAAAAAAACTTGCCATGGGACTCCAAATCCCACTAAGTTGGCAGGTACCAATGCCATCTTACTAGTTGAAGTGATCAGCTTAAATTCATATCTGATCATAAAGATAGGATTAAGTGTCTGCTAATAAGAATTGATAGAATTAAAAAGGAGAGAACAATCCAACATGGGAAGCAGGACACACAGCAGAGTTATAGTATGACAAATGCCCTGAACAGCACTCTGGCCTTAGAATCAGCCCTTAAGGCATTTGGATATGGCTAAAAAGCCCATGAGAGCATTTCAGGCATGAAAAGCCAAGACACTGTGGCAACAAATGACCTAAATGAAAGATCTCTGTGAGTGAGATCCCAGTGGAAAAAAAGGGGTCATCAAAGAAGGAGGTATCTTTCTCTGAAGGGAGGAGAGAACTTCCACTTTGATTATGGCCTTGTCTAAATAAGGTCAGAGTTTGTGAACTCAAGAGGCTTCCACAGCCTTGGCAGCTCTTGACAAGAGCTTTGGGTGATCACTGACATCATAAATAAGAGTGTCAATTGTTAAATAAACAATGGGAGTCGCCGTACACTTGTTCCCCATGTAGGACCTCTGTCCTTAATGGGTTGTACCATGAGAATTAATAGTAAAACTAGTCTTCAAACAGTACTTCAAACTTTGTGTGTCTGTGTGGGTGCAAACTGTTGAAATCTTTACTTAGTATAGAGTTAATCTTCTGTTTATAAAGATAATTAAAAATGAATCTTAGGGGCCGGTGCCATGGCGCAGTGCGTTAATCCTCTGCCTGGGGCACCAGCATCTCATATGGGTGCCGGTTCTAGTCCCAGCTGCTCCACTTCCAATCCAGCTCTCTGCTATGGCCTGGGAAAGCAGTGGAAGTTTTACCAAGTCCTTGGGCCCCTGCACCCACATGGGAGATGAGGAAGAAGCTCCTGGCTCCTGGCTTCGGATCAGCACAGCTCCGGCCGTTGTTGCTATTTGGGGAGTGAACCAACAGAAGTAAGACCTTTCTCCCTGTCTCTCCCTCTCACTGTCTGTAACTTTAACTCTCAAATAAAATAAATAAAATCTTTAAAAAAATTTTTTTAAAAAATGAATCTTAATGAGGAATGGGATGGGAGAGGGAATAAGAGGTGGGATGGCTTGGAGGTAGGAGAGTGGGTATCGGGGGAAGAACTGCTATAATCCAAAAGTTATATTTACAAAATTTTTTAAATAAAAGCTTTCTATAAAAAAAGAAAGGTAGAAGGAAAGACAGGGAGAAAGACACAGAAATCTTCCATTCATTGGTTCACTCCCCAAATGCCTATAACAGCTGGGTTTGGGCCAGGATGAAGCTAGAAGCCCAGAACTCAACCTGGGTCTCCTTTGTGGGTGGCAGGGAGTATCCGCATCACCACCTACTACCTCCCAGGGTGTGCATTAGCAGGAACCTGGAATCACAAGCATAGTTGGGACTCAAACCCAGGTACTCCAGTGAAAGAGCTAAGTTCTGAAGAAGCATCTTAATGGCTGCACCAAAGGCCCATCCCCAAATCATTCTATATTTCTATAACCAATTACATATAATGGCCTCTTTCCATTTATCTTGGTCCCAAAACTGTTATAAAATCACTTGAGCATACAGTAGAGGAACAATTATTTTGCTAATTCTACTATATTCAATGTACTATCTTCTAGGGCTGTATAGTAGCCCTCTAAAATATAATTTTTTAATTATCTCTTCCCTGAAATTTTACTGTCCACAAAATGTATAAACAAATGGTTATTCATTTGAAAGGTATTTCTGATGGCTTGTAAACAAGCCTTCTGACTGCACTAGGACTAAGAAACAACCAGGCCTTTTGTGCGGTTGGGAAATAAAATGAAAGATACATAATGATATCTCAAAATTTCACTACAGTGAACTTAGACTTAGACCAATTTATTCCTTTTTTAAAAATTAAACTGAAACTCCAAAAAGAAATGTATAATCTTCTAAAATGTAAATGTATATATTATGCATATTGTATACAAATAATGTAACTATTTTACTCACCAATTCCATTAAATCTTTTAACTTCCCAATTTCTTCTGGAATGGATACCAGTTTATTATTACTGACAACCAAAACTTTAAGGGGAAGATCAAATAGATATTTTGGCAATGTTGATAAAAGATTTCGACTGAAAAGAATAAGAAATTCCCATGAGATATATTTCTGAAGCCTGACATGTTTTATTGAAAAAGAATAAATCACCTGGAAAATAAATAAGCTTTCATTAAGTAATAACTATCATTTAATGAATGCTTTGTTTGTTTCAAGCACAGTGTTAAATTCCATGTACCATCTCATTTAGTCTTCAAATTAACCCCAAAGGATAGGTAATATTATCTCCATTATACACATATGAAAATGAAGGTTAAACTGGTTAAGTGACTTGCCCAAGCATAGCAGAGATTCAAATGTAAGTCTGACTGCAAAGAAAGACTGTTACCTGTAATACTGTCCTACACACCACTAGTTCTCAAAATCCCAAAATGAAGATTCTTTTGAGCCAGAGAATTTCAGAACCTTGCTTCCTGGTAAAAATTCAGTATGGACAATAATGCCATGCCACCAACTAGGGAAAGGCATTCACTATGTCTAAATTAATGAAAGAACAGGACTACACCTTAAACAACATGCTGTAACCATAATCCATTTCTTTTCATTATGGCTTAAGGTAGAACAGCTTATTAACATCTCTAAGTTGATAAAACATTCCTATCACTATGAATACATTTAAATATTACAACCAGCATTTATTGATTGCTTACTATAAGCCACACCATATTCGGAGCACCACACATGAATTAACCTGACTAACCCTCACAACCACCTAGTTTGGAAAAATGGGTATTATGATCCCCATTTTACAGATGAAAAGAAAGTCGGAAAGAGATTACATAAGCTGATTAAAATGCTAGAAAATGGGAGAGGCAGAATTCAAATACAGGCAATCTGGCTCTGTGACCCTTGCCCTCAAACTATTATGGTGGTCAAATTTATACACCAAAGCACACTGACTGCCCCAAATGATCCATTATCAAAATACATACTAACAAGCATTGATAAGCAATAAACTATTACTTTTCCTCTTTTTCAAAGTGATATTTATAATACCTTTACCTAGGACTTTGTGTAACATTCACAGCAACAAAAGCCCAGTGTAATTAAAGGGAGGACTTCAGACCCTTCATTTTATCTTATCCCTGAAGAGGACATCCAGAAACACTAGCTTGGCTTTAATCACATGGCACAAAAGCCCTAAAGCAAAAAAAAAAAAAAAAAAAAAAGCCAATGCCTCTCAAGTAAACATCCTAGCCGGACTGCTGGAAAGTCAAATATAACAGGGGCCTGTCACAAATCCTTCACAGTTAAAAAAGCAGGTTATCAGAGCAAGCATTGCAGTATAGCAGTTAAAGCTGCAGCGTGCAATGGTGGAATCCCATGTCAGTGCTGGTTAGTGTACTAGCTGTTCCACTTCTGATCCAGCTCCCTGCTAAGGGCCTGGGGAAGCAGCAGCAGATGGCCCAAGTGCTTCGGCCTCTGCTTCCCATGTGGGAGACCTGGAAGAAACTCCTGACTCCTGGCTTTGGACTGGTACAGCCCCAACTGTTGTAGCCCTCAGGATAGTGAACCAGTGGGTAGAATATCTCTATCTCTCCTTCTCTCTCTGTAACTCATTCAAATAAATAAATAAATAAGTCTGAAAAAATAAAAATTAGGTATTTCCAGGTAATACCATTGAGAGAGATGTCAAGAGGATTATTATATCACAGTGAAAAGGGAATATTATTGTTCCGTATATTATTTATATTTACTTTTTTCCTATATGGGGATTTAGACCAATAAATTGTTTAAAGTGAAAGTTGGGGGATCACCCCTTCTCATGTTGAAAAAAGAAGAATTCTACAATTTTATCTACTTCCACATTTCTCAATACTCCATTCTCCAAGGGCAACAAGAAGTCACAAGATTGAACAAAAACAACTTATGACCTGTTTGTTTATAATGTTTCATTCCTTACACTAAAGATGCATGCCTATAAATAGACCTGCACTGTGGTGCTATGATTTCACAGAAATATTTGTAGTTTAAAAACTTGCTAGCAGGTGGTGCTGTGGTTAGCAGGTGAAGCCACAGCCTGCAGTGCCGGCGTCCCATATGGGCACCGGTTCTAATCTCTGCTATGGCCTGGGAAAGCAGTAGAAGGTGGTACAAGTGCTTGGGCCCCAGTACCCACATTGGAGACCCAGAAAAAGCTCTAGGCTCCTAGCTTCGGATTGGCACAGCTCTGACAGTTGCGGCCATCTGGGGAGTGAACCAGTGGATGGAAGACCTCTCTATCTCTCGCTTTTTCTCTCTCTCACTCTCTCTTCCTCTGCCTCTCTGTAACTCTGCCTTTCAAATAAATAAATCTTTAAAAATAAACATATAAAACCTCGCTAGCCAAAGTGAGGTCAAAAGACCAGAAAGAAGACAATGGCATTAGCAGAGGGCCTACTAAAAACACAGGCACCACTGAGGCCAATTAATAAGATTCCCAGTGGATTTCTATGCATCGAAGTTTGAGAAGCACTGCTCTCAAGAACAAGACCAAGCCGGCGCCACAGCTCACTAGGCTAATCCTCCACCTAGCGGCGCCCGCACACCGGGTTCTAGTCCCGGTCGGGGTGCCGGATTCTGTCCCGGTTGCCCCTCTTCCAGGCCAGCTCTCTGCTGTGGCCAGGGAGTGCAGTGGAGGATGGCCCGAGTACTTGGGCCCTGCACCCCGTGGGAGACCAGCATAAGTACCTGGCTCCTGCCATCGGATCAGCGCAGTGCGCCACCTGCAGCGCACCGGCTGCGGCGGCCATTGGAGGGTGAACCAATGGCAAAGGAAGACCTTTCTCTCTGTCTCTCTCTCTCTCTCACTGTCCACTCTGCCTGTCCAAAAAAAACAAAAAAAAGAACAAGACCAAATGCCTACAAAGTAGTATGAAAATATAAAAAATGGGGACCGGTGCTGTGGTGGGGACCGGTGCTGTGGCATAGCAGGAAAAGCTGCTGTCTGCAGCACTGGCATCCCATATGAGTGTCAGTTCAAGTCCCAGCTATTCCTCTTCCAATCCAGCTCTCTGCTATGGCCTGGGAAAGCCCAGGCCAAAGCAGTAGAAGGTGGCCCAAGTCCTTGGGCCCCAGTACCCACATGGGAGACCCGGACAAAGCTCCTGGCTCCTGGCTTTGGATCAGCCTAGCGCTCTGGCCATTGTGGCCATTTGGGGAGTAAGTCATCATATGGAAGACCTCTCTCTCTCTATCTCTCCCTCTCGCTCTCTCTCTCTCTGTAACTCTACCTCTCAAATAAATAAATAAATCTTAAAAAAGAAAATGTAAAAAATGTAAATAAGAAATTGCTGCTATATATACTACATAGCCAAGCCAAACACACTGCTTTGCTACTAAAAGGAATTTGAACCATAATTAAAACCAAAATTGCATTTCAAAATTGTTTCCTTACCTAATATTAAGGTATGTTAACATCTGCAGGTTTTTAATGGCTTCAGGAATGGTTTTGATGCAATTGTGATATAAATTTAATGTTTCAAGAGGTGCAAATAACCAGACATCAGAAGGAATTTCTGTAAAACGATTTCTGGAAAGATCTGAAAAATAAAACAGTGTTTATGTCAAACACACATATATATCTATGGTTCTTAACAGAACTACAATATTTAACATATGAAGTATTATTCACTAATATCTTGAAGGCAGGAAAATGCATTTTAGAAATATACTCACAGAAGGCATGTACTTGATACACTTCAATATCTCTAAACTCCCAATATGCTACTTCTCTTTTAAAATGCCAATGAAGAATTTTCTCCAATCTTTTAAAAACAAGTACAGAGGGAATGGCACTGTGGTTTAGTGGGAGCACCCACCTGCGGCACTGGCATCTCACATGGACGCCAGTTCAAGTCCCGGCTGCCCCGCTTCCTATCCAGCTCCCTGCTGGCGGCCTAGGAAAGCAGTAGAAGACGGCCAAGTGCTTGGGTCCCTGCACCTGCACTGAACACCTGGAAGAAGCTCCTGGTTCCTGGCTTTGGATTGGTCCATCTCCAACCATTGCAGCCATTTGGGGAGAGAACCAGTTGATGGAAGGCCTCTCTCTGGTCTCTGACTCTCTCTCTCTAACTACGCCTCTCAAGTCTCTCAAGTAGATAAATAAATCTTTAAAAAAAGAAAAAAGTACAGAAAGCTTCCCCCAAGATCCCACAACCACTTTCATTTTTGTCTTCCTCTTTCACAGCCAAACTCACATAAATCCACAATCCAATTAAATCTGTTACTTACCATGGTCTTCTCAAACCACTGCAATCTGGTTTCTACTCACTTTCAAATTCACTAAGCTTACCAAAAGCATTCCATATAACCTCCCCATCCATCAGGAAACATCCCCTTCCCTTGGTTTTGAAGACTACATCTCTGCATCTGTTCCTATTATCTTTCTGGCCACTTCTTGGTTTCTTTTGTTAGATTTTTCTCTACTTGTACCATATGGACTATGATGTAAAATGTTCTTTCCTTCTTAAGATACACTCTACTGGGTGACTGAATCCAAACTCAGGGCAAAATTATATTTACATTGATAAACTGCATATTAAAAATAGAGCTAACTATGTATTTGACCTTCAGGACTTCCTCTCAATATTTTTCAGGTACCTCAAATTCTACAATTGTAAAACATGAACTGAAAATGTTTACATGCACACCCAGACAATATGACCAACATCCTTCTGGTGAATTATTCAAGCCAGAAACCTAGCATTTATCCTTGACTTTTTCTTCTCCTAAATTATCCCAAATCCACATAAACACACTTTCACCAACTTAAGTTTTCACAAAAATAAAACCATAGAATATTAACTATTACTCCTCTACTAAAGATTCATTTGTTAAATGAAATTTTTCAAACTACTTAGGCCATCATGTGGTAGATTCGAAAATAGTAACCTAAAAGACAGTTTCTCAACCTTATCTACTATGGACTTTGTGACTAGGTAACTATTATTGGGGGCTATCCTGTGCACTATAGGATATTTAGCCACATCTCTGGTATCTAATCACTAGGCACCAAAAATACCCATGAAGAGAGATTCCAAGATGGCAGAATAGGGAGGGAGCTTACTGCTCTATGCTAGGGGAAGACAGATTAAAAAAAAAAAAAGGTAGAGAGAGTTCATTCTCAGGGAAGATCTAGAGAGAAAACTGCAGGGGAAATTCTACAGAAGGGAGAGGGACATTGGGGATTAATGTGGAGAGTGTGGACGTGCAGCACCAGCTCAGAAACAACATAGGACCGCAGGAGCTAACAGCTTGAGAGCACCAGCTTTGCAGAGTGAGGTAAGACTGCAGCAGCTCATGTCACTGGCAATATAGCTGCCGAGAGAGCCTAGCATGAGTCCTACCTGGAGCCCTATGAGGGACAGGATACTTGATAACATAGCAGAAAAAAGGGGGACATCTCTGTCTCCCCATTCCCCCAAAAATGGCACCTGGCAACCGGCTGAGAGATGGCGAGCAGCATTTTGGACATATGTAACAACCGCACCAGCTTGTGTCCACACGCCCAGCAACCAGCCAAGAGAAGACGTCTGAGTCTGGCTGGGAGGACTGTCAGGAGGCTGGGAACCCATGTCGGATTGTGAGGCGCCCCCAGCCTCTCAGTTTATCAACGGCTCTGGGGCTCAAACTGTCTATGTAGAGCACCCACAGGCAGCTGGCTCTGGGAGCACCTCTGCCTCCCTGTTGGACGGGACAATCACAGGGTGGAGCAGAGTGGAAAAATCTTCCATGTTCATGGACTGGAAGAATCAATACCACCAAAATGTCCATAATACTGAAAACAATTTACAAAATTCAATGTGATCCAAATCAAAATACCAACAACATTCTTTGCAGATCTAAGAAAAATGATGCTAAAACTCATATGGAAATACAAGAGACCCTGAAAAGTTAAAGCAATCTTATACAACAAAAACAAAGCCGGCAACATCATAATATCAGACTTTCAAGACATACTACAGGGCAGTTATAATCAAAATAGCCTAGTACTGGCACAAAAACAGATGTGTACACCAATGGAACAGAACAGAATTTCCAGAAAAAAACCCATGCTTCTATAACCAACTTATTTTTGACAAAGGAGCTAAATATCAATCCCTGAAGCAAGGATAGTCTGCAACAAATGGTGCTTGGAAAACTGTATTTCCACAAGCAGAAGTATGAAACAAGACTCCTACTTTACACCTTACATAAAAATCCACTCAAAATAGATCAAAGACCAAATCTATGACCTGATGCCATCAAATTACTAAAGAACATTGAAGAAACCCTGCAAGACACTGGCATAGGCAAAGACTTCTTGGAAAGGAGCCCAGAAGCACAGGCAATCAAAGCCAAAACTGACAAATGGGATTGCATCAAACTGAGAAGCTTCCGCACCACGAAAGAAACACACAGCAAAGTGAAGAGGCAACCGACAGAATGAGAGAAAACATTTACAAAGTATGCAACTGATAAAGGATTAATATCCAGAATCTATGAATAGCTCAAGAAACTCAACAACAAAACAATCCAATTAAGAAAGGGGAAAATGAGTTGAACAGGCATGTTTCAAGAGAGGAAATTCAAATGGCCAACAGACACATGAAAAAAAAAATGCTCAGGATCAGTAGCCATCATGGAAATGCAAATCAAAACCACAATGGGGTTTCACCTTATCCTGGTTAGGATGCCTCTCATACAAAAATCAACAAACAATAAATGCTGGCAAGGATGTGGGGAAAAAGGTACCCTAATCCATTGTTGGTAGGAATGTAAACTGATCCAGCCAATGTGGAAGACAGTATGGAGATACCTCAGAAATCTCAAATATAGTTACCATATGACCCAGTGATCCCACTCCTGAGAATTTACTCAAATGAAAAGAAATAAGCAATATGAAAGAATGATCTGTATACCCATGTTTGTTGCAGCTCAATTCACAATAGCTAAGATATGGAATCAACCCAGATGTCCATCAACTGAAGACTGGATAAAGAAATTATGGTATATGTATACTACAAATACTATACAGCAGTAAAAAATAAAATAAAATCCTGTCATATGCAAAAAAATTGATGCAACTTGAAATCATTATACTTAGTGAAATAAGCCAGTCCCCAAAGGACAAATATCATATATTCTCTCTGATCTGTGGTAACTAATAGAGTACCTAAAAGGTAACCTATAGGAGTAAAATTGACACTTTGATATGTGATGATTTTGAACAGCTCTTGTCTTGACTGTTGAGGAACAGTGTTTTTTTTGTTTTTTTTTTTTTGCATACTATTTATTGAACTCTTTACTTAGTGCAGGGTTAATCTTTTGAGTATAAAGTTAACTGAGATTACTGCCCTTTACTGCTTCTGCAGCCCGTGCCTTCAGGGCACGTGGCCTTCAGGGCACCTGCTCCTTTCCTGCCTGCATACTCGCTGCACATGGCTGGCTCCTTTCCTGCTCTCTGTGTGGTATCGACCCTAACTTAGTCTCTAGACTTTTCTTTCTCCCTTAGATAGAGCCCTCACTTTCCTATGTATTTATCACACTGAATAAAATCCTTAAAACTTACCATGCTGCCTAGTTTATTTGAGACAGTATTCAGAATTCTTCTCTGAATATGTGGCAAGAGCCCACACAGCTTATTAATATTGTGAAACATTAATAAGTAAAACTGTTTCATATGGCGACCACAAAAGGACTTTTAATAACAGAGGGACTCCCCAAAATTTATTTAGAAAGGAAAAAAAAAAAAGGCAACATGGTAAGAACTGGCTTCCCACAGTGTCTAACCCTATTTATCTTCTTGCACTCCACTCTCTCTCCCATCTGCATTAGTACTTTCCCTTTAAATCAGAGAAAGCGTAGCTACCCTGTGAGCCCAGCATTGGCTAGTGGAAGGGGCGGTTTACAGGGGCGCAGGGCCCAGGTCGGAGAGTGGATACTCTGGCTATACTTCCTTGCAGACCGCTTTGCTCCAGCAGAACCTGGCCTAGACACTACAGTGGGTGCATCCCTGGGGGAGGGCCAGACGCCTAAACAGCCAAGATGGGATCGGAAACTGCAGATCCCTCTCACCACTGGTACCCAGGATGTGTGTGAAACTCCCACCCAAGTGCACATGGAGACTGGGCGATGTCCCAGAATGCACACCACTGATGTTGCAGCTGCCTGGGACAGGTACTGGCTTCTCACCCACATGAAACTTTGCAGGGGCGTGTGGCCTTGCTCACAGAGGCGGCTGCGTGAGCAAAGCAATGTCTCATGGCTCCTGGCTCAAGCTAGCTCTACCCTGCCAGAAAAACTGCAGGGGCTCCTGCTGCTCTAGCAGGAGTTTTTCATTCAAAAAGACAAACAGTAGATTTTTTTTTGAGTCTTAGCACTGGTAGTGTTCAGAAAATTCCTTTCTTTTTTGCTGTGTCTGGCTTTGAGGATACAGTATTAGTGCTAATGGAATTTGTAAGAGAGTTGAGAAGGATTTTCACAGAGGGCTAGTTCTAAGTTTCTAAGTTATATGTACTATGTTTTAAGGACAATTTATGTATTGTCCAAGGTTGAAATT